ATCAGCATTATATGTTTTTTTTAAATTTTACTTCATTTTTTATTTATTGCCTCTGAACACCAGTATTTTTCAGGGCCATGGGGATTGTAGGGGCTCTTACAGCTCCGACTCCAGCAATGTCCCTGTGGTGAGAGCCGGGGTGGGAGATGTAGACATCTCCCAGACCTGGCCCGGAGCAGGGAAGCGCGTGATGGCTTCGCCTCCTTTCTTTTATCATAAACATTTGATTAAAATGTGCTTTCTGCACTGCTTTGAGAGACATCTTTAAAATTAGGGGAGCACTGCCAGAGCTCTGACTAAGCCTGGCCTTGGGTGCCATGCCATATGGAGCAGAATTGCAGCGGCCGGGCTGACGGGAAGGGAGAGAAGTCCAGCATGGGTGGGATGGGGAAATGCTGTCAGGCGGGGAGGGAGGGGACCTTATAGATACTGTAGGACACAGTGCCTGTGGTCCTTGGGGCTTTCTGCTGTGGGATGAGGCTGGGCTGAGTAAAGGGGGATGTTCCCTGCTCTGTTTTGCAGTAGGTTCCCAGCACCAGAGCCACCTTGAGAGCTGCTGGCAGTTTGAGAGCTGCAAATCAGCCCCTCTGGACTTGAAAGAGGGTTTTGAAATTGCCGTGAGCAGCTCTGGGCATGGAGATTGCTTCTGTTTTAGCCGCAGTGCAAGAAGCACCGCCTCAGGCAAATGCTCTTGGGGGACTCGGCTCATTTTGACAGCAACGCTCCCCCAGTGTGGGGATGCTGGGTCTGGGTTGAGTGCCCAGCACCCTTCCCTCCGTGTCCCTTCCCTTCCCTCCGTGTCCCTTCATCCCTACCCAGGCTGAGGATGGAGGCACATCAGATATGGCGGGTTTTTGAGTCATTAGGCAGCAAAGAAGCAGGCGCTGCTGGCTGGAGCTTATATAATACCAAGCACAGGATCCGGCCCATGCGCCAGGGCTGCGGTAACCCAGTTACAACTGAGGAAGGAAAAAACCACACGTAGGTCGGAGTCTCTCCCAAGCTGGTTGGGAGTAAATATTTACATGGCACTGTATCCGCCAGCAGCCAGGGCCTTGGGAAAAGCAGCCTGGCTTCCCCTTGGTAGGGTGGGGATGAACCTTTTAGCAGCTGAAATGGGAGCCCTTGGGTTTGCTGGGCTGAGGACCGGCCCTTGCAAAGTCTGGAGGCCAGAGGTGGCTTGCCATGCTCAGGTATCTTCGTTCAGCTTCCACGGCCTCTAAAATACAAGCCTGCTTTATGCACCAAGGGAGAAAATAAGCTGTCATGCTGCAAAATCCAATGGACACCGGTGGTTCTTGCTGCTGCTGCGGTTCGTGGAGGAACGTTCCTGATGTTGCCCCCGATTGCCGGTGCTTGAGTAGAGACGGCCCCGTGCAAATCTGCTGACGCTGAAGACAGCTGGTGTTCAGGAGCTGTAGGGCAAACTCTTTGGCAGCGTGGGCATCACCTTGCAACAGCTTTCCTTGCCCAAAATCTCTTTTAATTTGAAGGACGGTGATTTCCTCCTGCCTTTCAAGTGCTTAGGCTGTGGTTAAGACTGGAAAGCGAGTCCCCAGCTCCTTTCTGCCGTAACCCAAGGAAGAGCTCACCACCGGCAGAGCGCGGTCCCTGTGTCTGCCTTGCTGAGCACATCCAAGCTGGGGTGCGTGATGTGGACAAGGAACCATTTTAATAGGAACTATTAACTTCTGGATTTCCTTTTCCTTGTTTGCTCAAGCTCTCGGGGTTGATGTTTACTCAACTGTTCTTGCTTTTAATAGTTTTGGTGGTGTTTGATGCTGTTGATAGGGGAACTGCTCCCATGGACTTTGTTTTCCAAAGGAAGAAACTCCGTTGACTGTGTGTGCCCTGTGCTGGTGGCTTGGGGGTCACAGGTTACTTTCAGGGAAATGGGGTCTCGGGGAACTTCCTTCCTGGTGGGATTCACGAAAACCAGCAGAAACCCAGTGGGTGATTCTCTGCAGCAAAAGCTGCTCCGTGTGCTCGCCTGCCTGCTCCTATGCATCCCTGCTCATCCTCTGGACACGGATGTGCCGGGGACCAGGCTGCCTCATCTCCCCCGCTGCCATATCCCTTGTTTATTCAGGGTGTGCTGGTAGCAGCGTGCTGGGAATCTCATACGCCTGGTGCTCCGTTACTGCTCCTCGCTCCTTACGGAAGCACTTCCAGTGCAGCTGGCACGAGTCAGATGGAGCCCTCCCAGCTGGGAGAGACCTCTGGGGTGCCGGATCCTGCCCTTCTGCTGCGGCAAAAAGCACTTGCTGCTTAGCAGAGGAAAATGAAGGAGCACTGGGGGTCTTGTAGAGCTCGTCCTGGGTTTGCGCTGGCAGCAAAGGAGGAGCAGAGCAGGTAGATAAATCCCAGTTTGCAGCAGGGCCTCCACATCTGGGGACAGGCGGGTGGCAGCAGTAGGTACCCGGGCAGGCGAGCGGCACAGGCAACTGCTGTGCAAATAATCTTTTACCAAAGCAGCCAGGAACAGGAGCCAGGGGGTTATTAAGGCTTATTATTATTAAGGCTATTATCAAGGCTTATTCCCCTTCCTACTGCCCCTGGATGTGCCTGTGGCCAGGCATCCTCATCACCCAGCATCCTACTGCAGCCTTCCTCTTCCTCCAGGGGAGAAATTCAGGTGCAGAGCCGGGATCGGGCTGGTTTGCCCCTGCCTGGCGTCGCCCCCGCAGCAAGAGGATTTCTTCCCATTAATCATCCCCCACCCCGAAGCAGGATGCCGGCCTGGCAATCGGAGCAGGATCCCAGCAACAGATTGGTACCGATGAGCGTTTGAGCGCTCTAAAAATAGTGAGCGGAGAAAGCGGGGAGCGAAAAATGGCTGAGATTCAGCAAAATCAAAGGCATAATTAACATGCAGCCCCTGTGAGTGTATTTTTAGGGCCCTACAAAAAGGCTCTAAAACATTGAATTCACATCAGCACGCGAATGTTCCAGTTTAATGGGATCCTGGGGCCTGTAGGGAAGAAGTGAGAGATGCTTAATTGTCAGTGTTTGTGTTTTATTCATGATTGAACGTACTTAGCAAGCGAAAACTGATTTGCTGTGGGCTTCTCGCTGCTTGTGTAGCCTTAAACCTTATTCCGGCCAGGGCTGGCATATGCCGAGACAGGCAATTGCCCGGTGTGCTGGAAGGGCTGGTTGGTCCCAGTGTTTGCATGTGCTGTGCTTGGAAAAGGGATTATTGCCTCCCCTCCCATGGGGAGCAACCTGCCAGGGCTGCCCTGGGGTGCTCAGCGCTTGCGTGGGCTCCAAGGGGATCAGAGACAGAAGAAAAATCCCATGGGGGTAAATCAGGAACTGCATGCAGCCTGGGAAGTCCCTGAATGCAGGTGGCCGGACACTGGGAGAGCACTGGGAGAAAGCTCGGAGATGGGTGCTGCTGTGGCACAGCCAAGGTAGAAACCAGGCTCCTTCCCGCATGGCTCCAGCACCCAAGAGAGACCTGTCGGAACCGCCTGGTTCTGCTGAAATGGCGCAGCCAGACCTGCATGGAGCCTTGGGTGTGATGAATCCTCTGGCTTCCGCAGTGCCGGGCTCGGCTGTGCCGGAGGCAGCTCAGGTAGCAATTTGAGATCTAATCCTGCCCTCAGGGACCTGTGCGTGGCCGCAGCCATGGCTAGTAGCTGACTCACTGCCTGTCCTAAGGGAGGGATTGTGGAAGCGGCTGCTTTTCCCACTGGAGCCGGATTCGTGCGGCGCCTTCCCTGCTTGGCTGCGCAGGTGGAGGAGGGATGAGCCGGCACCGCGGCGCAGATGTGGTCCCTGCAGGCTCGGCGGGGAGGACGGGGGGGCTCACCACGGCACGGAGCGGCTCCAGATCATCAGCAGGATGGTGGCTCGTAGAGAGGGTTTTTTGGTTTTTTTTGTTTTTTTTTTTTTTAATCTGTTGTGAAACGATGTGCAGATGGCACAGCCGCCCGGTCGGAAGGAACAGAGGAACACGGGATGCCAAGGCAGGGTTCCTTATTTTAAACTGCTTCCCTTGCCAGGGAACAAATGTGCCTCACTTCAAAATAATAATTATAAAGCCTGGGAGAGGATCCAGAGAACCCAAAATCCTTCTGTGGGTATCGGTGCGTTGGCTGAAGCACTGCTTCGGTTGCCGTCGTGCTGCCTGCCCAACCCTACAGGCAGATGCCCACGTTGCCGGGGCTGGAGGGTATTTGGTGGATGTCATC